TCGGGCAGAAGCCCATCTACCAGCCAATCGCCCTTTGCAGTCGGCTCTTTGGTGACCTCCCAGTTGGCTCGGATCCACACGGGGTCCTCCATCTTGGACCGGCGCTTCAGCGACACCTGGCAGGGCAAGAAAGGAAGCATCAAACGCTCAGACTAATAACACCCTATAAAAATACCCTATAATGGTACCCTAGAACTCTACCCCATAAGAATACCCTCTAAGAATGTAGTACGCAAAAAACCGGCTTTGCTTTTGGGGGGTCTCCCAGCTACTTCGCAACCCGAGAGGCTGCGCCTTGGAGGGGCCCTTGCTGTCCTCCTTGCGGGGCTCCTCTGATGCGGAGGGCTCGACTTTTTGACGCTTCCTACGGCAATCCTGTAGCTGCTCCAAGAAGTGCAGCCTAGTCCAGAAAGCCACGAGGTGCCAAGCCTGAAGGTGAAGTGTGATGTCTTGTGCTTTATTCGGAAAAGGTGAACTCAGGAATGCGCCGTCGCTACCTACCTCGTACAACAATCACTGCCTGTCACTGCCTAACCCAGGCTACGAATTGCACGGTGTTGCGCAACCGCGACACCCATGAGTCGTTGAAAGTAAAACGGTGCCGAATAAAACAAGGAGAATGCATACGCACTAATCTTAGCCGATAGGCAGGCACTCGAACCCCCCCCCATGCGGAGGCCGCCTCCGCCCGAGAAGACTATAACCTCCAGAAGGCCATCATAGTACTAGACCCGAAGCCCTGAACCCACCCTAAGCCGTAAACCCTAAACCCGAAACCTCAAAACCCTAATGCCTGAACCCACCCTGAACCATGAACCTTCAACCCTGAAAGCCAAACTTCTCCTGCAGAGTCTTTCGCTGCTTTGCTGCAAGCTTCGGCCGCTTTGCGGCCGGCTCGGCCGACGAGGTTTCCTGGTTTCACGATTAGCGTCCATCACGCTTTTGGGGTTTAGTGCTTGGGGTCTAGGGTTAAGGATATAAGGTTGAGGCTACGATATAGGCTTCAGGGTGCGGTGTTTAAGCTTTATCGGCCTGGGGAACGTCACTGCACTCCCAAAACGGAGCTACATGTGTGTGTAAAAAAAAAAATATATATATATATATATGTGTGTGTGTGTGTGTGTGTATATATATATATATATAAATATATGCTC